GGGAGGGGGGTGTCCTCATGACTCAATGAGACTACCTATTAATAAAAAAAGTCTGACCAATGAAATTACTGGACAGGTCACAGTGGACAGTGGTCACGTAGACCAATGAAACTTGGTTTCATTGGTCTACGTTCCCTCCTCCCCTCCCAGCCCTGCAGGACTTTCTCCCCTCGTTGTGCCCCCAGGGCACAACAAAGTATTTGCAGCCACTCGAAACAAGTGTGAATTGTAAATCAAATCAAACAGCGAATTTTCCTCGAGACGAAAGTGACATCAAGAGCGACAACAAGAGACTGAGGACGTGTGAAGTTTTTCTGAGGCTGTTCAATTCTGACACTGAAGAAGACTTTAGTGGTTTTAGTGCACAGGAGGAAGATGAAGATAGTGATCAATGACTTCTCCTGGTAGGCTACGGTATTTATATATTTATTTTTAACCAGCTGTGTTAAGGACACTGTTCAGGAAAAAAAAAAAACATTTTACTGAACGTATTTGTGTGTTACCGGTACGTATTTAATAAAAATAAAAATAAAATCTTTCTGTGTAAATATCTCATGTTACAACGTGGACACCTGCAGCTTATACACAAGTTCGGTCTATATATGTACATTTTTAAAATTTATTTAGTGGGTGTGGCTTATATTCAGGTGCACTCAGTAGTCCAGAAATTATGGTATTATGGTGACAAGCAGCTTTCCTTAAAAACAAAAAGTCTGGGTTAATTTTGTTTTTTATCTCACAACCCCCGATGGATTCATGGATTACAAAACTCTCATACTACGGCAAGAATATAATTTACTCATGCAACGCATTTAAAACGAAAACAAAGTCCATTTTTGTTCGAGAACCAAACTTTCTTGACTTACTTGAACTTGACAACTACCGCACGTGTGTGTGCAGCGGTTTCATCACTTCACAATCATTACGGTTAGACGTCTAAGAAGAAACTCAGCCATAGTTGATGGCACAACAATCTGAACATATCGTATTCAACCCTGAGGTATAATTATTACACGCTGCTGTGGTCTTGTGTTGCACTGTTTCAGCATGCCTGTGTTGCAGGTACACCACTTTCACAGACAGGATCATTATGGCTTGATTTTATTACACGTGCCAAACACTGTAGTTACAGAGTCTGACAAGTCCTGTAATCTGCATACACATGTCGTTTGGTTTATAAGTGGTGTCAAAAGGAAATGAGCTGATCAAAAAGGCTGCTTGATCTTTTTCAGGTTTAACTGTGGAAGGAAGCCAACAAAAAGCAAACCCACCTGGATGTTCAGATGTAGCAGAGCGAAGAGCACACCTGATAATTTACTTTTTTGTTTTGTTTTTTCTTAGAGGAAGTGTTTTCTGCTCAACACGAAGGTCTGAAGGAGGAGAAAGAATGCCTAACAAAGTTGCAGAAGGAATGCACAGCCAAGAGGTACGTGTGAGGCTATAATCAGCTGAAGAACATGCTGCATGCATTAATCCCCGTCAGGTCCACGGGTCTCTGAGTCTTGTGTATGTTTCTCAATCTAAATAAAATGGCCATGCTTTGAGCAGCTCACCTTGGTCTTTCAAAACAAGATGGTGTTTGTGTTGCAGACCCTGACTATTTATGTAAAGCCCATTGGCCTGTTTTTGTCTTGCCTTGTGGAGAGATGTTTGCAGCGAGTGCACATTCTGAATACAGATTTGTTTATTTGAAAAGTGCCTGGCAGTTCCAGAGGGTGAATCGGCTTCAAAAAGGCCAGCGGGGCCAAAAAACCCCAGAAAACAGGAAATTAATACTGGCACTTTTACTTCTGCCTTACATCTATTCCTTGGACAAAAGTGGTGTTCATGTTCTTTATTAAAGTTTTTATCTTATTAGTCAGGGAAGGTTTTCTTAGGAATCCAGACTTCTTATATAACCTGTAGTTTTTATTTGGTATTTAAAAGCATCTGATAATCAGCTAATATCACAAAGCCGGACTTAACAAGCGTCCCTCAGGTATGGTATTTTCTAATATTTTTGGCTTTAACGTTTAAACTACATCAGAAAAAATATTGCAGCTTAAAGTAGCTGCAGATTATAATTAAAGTGATTTTTGACCATTTAGAAGTGGAGCCATGTTTTAAAGTTATGAAGTATTGATATTTTATTAATTTTTGTTGCTTTTAAATGAGTTTATTTTGGATAAGGCCAGGCCAAACTTATTTTTTGTATATTAATATAATAATTAGCTATAAATTTTATTTTCGTTAGCTGCTTAAAGACTACATTGCAACTGGGTAATGATAATCAGAATTTATTAGGCTATTAATTCTGTTGGACGTAAACTCTATTTCTCCAAATTGAGGTTGATCAAAAAATGTATGCAGAAACATGAAGTTGCTCACTTTTGAGCCCTTTTGACCCCTGTGGCCGAGCGAAAATGTGGAACTGGAAAACGCTCCATCCATCTTTGAATGTTGTGAGCATGAGAACTTGAAAATAAGTGAGTTACAAACTTCCATTTTAGTGTGTGGCTGTATCTAGACGTAAAAAGGTTCCTTTTGAAAATTGGGTTGTCTTGTCAAAATCCAGGATTTGACCACCATGCATTCACACAACAGTACACATTATACACACAACTTTTGCCACTCTTCCTTCGTATCTCACTAGTATGCATTTATGTATGTGTTTATAAATGTATATTCAATTCAGTTTATTTATACAGCGCCAAATCACAACAGAAGTTGTCTCAAGGAACGTACCAAAACATACGCATGCATACAAAAGCCTATGTCTATATACAGTATGTTTATCAGAGTCAGAGTTTCTTTGTCATTTGTGGTACATGTGGTACATGTGGTGGAACGAAATTGTGTGCACAGGTTCCCAGTTACATCCAACAATAAAATGTAAAAGAAAAACAATAATAAGATCAAAGATATGAACTAAGAAAAACAACTAAAAATACACTAAGCACTAATAGCGTAAAAACAATACGCCGAACAGCAGCACGAACATGAGTCTGTGTGAACAGATGAGCACGCATGAACACAGCAACATGACACAGATCAGCAGCAACATGAAACGGATCAGCAGCAACATGATGTGATTTTTCACAGTGATTATTCTGGTTAGAGATTCATGAGTCTAACAGCCTCAGGGTAGAAGCTGTTCCTCAGTCTAGTGGTTCTACACTTTATGCTCCTCAACCTCCTTCCTGAGGGGAGTGGGGCAAAAAGTGTGTGCGCTGGGTGAGTGTGGTCCTTCATGATGCAGGTGGTCCTCTTCCTGCATCTAGAGGTGTAGATGTCTGTGATGGTGGAGAGACTGACTCCAACATCTTCTGTGTGTGATTGTATTGTATACTGTATGTGATTTATTCACAGTGATTATCCTGGTTTGAGATTCATATTTTTGTGTATATATGTGTTTATATGTGTGTGTGTGTATATATATATATATATATATATATATATATATATATATATATATATATATAATTATTTATTTATTTGCATGTGTTAAGCTTTGAATAAAAAAGCAGCTTTAAATAAGGCACAGTCATTTTTCTGTTGTAATATAAAAAGGCCAGAGACATTATTTGTGTTTTAAGTCAAATTCTGAACATTTTATTGCCAAAAATAAAAATAGTTTTCTAGTATTCTTTTGAAAACATTTTATAATGTTGAGACTTGTAGACTGACCACTGTAAAACAAGCATTTTTATATATGTATTTTTATTTTATTCCAGTTTTACTTGTCAAGCCATAGATCTCGTGTAAAGTTCCTGGGCTCTCTGTTGTCTACCTCCGTCATTATGTTGCTCTTGGTGCCATCTGTGTTTCTTGTTTGGTCTCCTTAGAGAGCAGTTCCTGAAATCCAACGCCCAGCTCACCTTTCGCTGTCGTCAGCTCCTCTCTGAACTATCCTACATCTACCCCATTGATGTGGTAAGTGGGATCAGTCATGTCTAACGTTTTCTGTTTTATCAGTTCAAATTACATGAATCAGTTGATGCATTCCCATCAGTTATTAAAAATGTCAAGAATATTCAAATTCCCCTTGTACCAACAAAAACCAAGACACATCTAGATTCTTACCAGTTAATAAAGGCTACATCCTCAATTTTTATAATGTTAAATGTGAATATACAAAGTTTGGCTATTTTACCGTTTTTAATTTGTGCCTGTATATGAGGACTTAAGTCTGTTAAAGATGGTTCCTGCTTACTGTAAATTATAGGAAGATTTTGATTCAACAAGATGCAGTGTGGTTATAAAACAATTATTGTTGCATTTTGATTATCTAGAAACTTAATGACTATGCATTGTTTTACATAATTTAAAAAAGTATATATTTTCATGCCTACTAAAAAGTGCACAATAACATGTTTATAAACCTCAATAACCGCAGACTGCTGACAATTAGCACAGATGCTAACTTAACTTTGAAAATGATGTAAACCGAAAGAAAACTAAAACAATCAACACAAGCCATAACACAGTTAGCATCGTGTGTCTCACTGGGAACTTTAACACAAATCAAATGTTTCAGTCGTTACTAAAGACAGACGTGTTACAAATTCAGTTACAAACAAATGTTCTTTAGGGTTCAGAGGAGAAAAGATGAAAAAAAAACTGCTTTACTGCAACAACTAACAAGGCTGAGAGGTCCCCTGGTAAATGAGGGTACAAATTTTGTGAAGCACTTTGAATATCCTGGTTAGATAGAAAGGCACTATACAAGTACAGTCCACTAACTTATGGACCACCATATGCTTGAACATAGTGTTCAGTATAGACAGTCCATGCCACGCCGGACACAAGCATCCGGCATTATAATACCAGAAAACTGATCAAGGAGGCTGTTCCTCCCTCCCAGATAATTCCATCATTGCCCAGAAGGGGCATTGAAATCAACCTGGTGAACAACAGAATCCCCAGATGGTACCTTTTCAAGGACCCCATCCAGAGACTCCAAGAAGGCAGGATAACCTGAACTGCTGCTTGCTGCACAAGTACAAACAGTCAAAGCGCGCCCTCCTGCATCCAGAACTCTTGTTCACCACGGGAAAACTCCAACACTGAGACACTTAGGGGCTTGTTAGTATTCCCACAGCCATCTGACGTCTCTTTCCCTGGACAACTTCAGAGCAGGAAAGTGTTAAGCCCTTCTTTAGGAGTTGGGTTTCTGAGTATAAGCTGTATGTAAGGTGATCCCAACTATATCTAGCTGGTATCGCTCAACCTAACACACAAGCTCCAGCTACTTCCCCCACCAGTGAGATGACATTCCATGTCCCTAGAGCTGGTTTATGCCACCAGTAATTGGCATTCCCAAGAATGCTGCCTCGTTTGCTGTCCGGCCTGCAATGCACCTGATCTCATTGGTCATTCTTGCAGCTGCTGGACACGGCTGGAGGTGACGTCCTATATTTCTTTTGGGCTTTGCCAGGCTGAGCCTCAGGTGTCAAAGCTTGACAAGTGCAAACTGCAGAGCTCCAACTGCACCCCCAGACTTTGCTTCAGGGGTATGTCCTGGTTTGACTTTTTTGTGTGAGGTTTCCTGATGCATGGGTTGTTTATCCACTGTTTTTGAACCACTCTTGGCCTGATCCCTCTCCTGAGGCCAAATTGTTAAGGGAGACCCAACTGGGGGCTGATGCTCCAGAAAACATATGGTGCTTTGCCACTGTCTCAACTCTCTTTGGCTCTGCATGACACGGCACCAGTTAAGGGCCTGCCCTCTGCTGGCACCCACCCACACTCAGCCCGGTTTATGGGACCACCTTGTTTGAGGTTCCAAACGGACTGCTCCGAGGTGCCGATTTTCATGTAAGTGATTTTCATATTGATTAGCCAGTGAAGCTACGTCATTAGATGACCCACCAGCAAAACTGCTAACTACATCTGAACCACCACTTTCTCATCATATTGACTGATGGCACCACAAGTGCATTTACAGAAAAATATCAAAGATGATTGCACAGCATGGCTACACCCGGACTTATGAACAGTGCCGGGATAAGCTAAAGAAATTGAATCAGATTATAGGGTGATTAAGGACCACAACGGGCGGAGTGGCTCGAACACTGATGAGTTACGATCCCACCGACAGCAGAGAAAGAAGTCACAGTGGCAAATCACCTACACCTGAGTAGAACTGGTTAGATGAGAGCAGAGTGGAGTGGCACTTATCAATGGCAAAGCGGAATTAGCTTCCAGGATTGCAGAAGTAACCAAACCCTTCCATCACTTTAAGGTGGCTTTTCTGCAGAGGGGAGAATGTTTCATTCATAATAATTTGAGTTTCACAGTTCACGTTTCAGTGTTTTTAGAGATCTTCTAATGGCTTCACATGTTTTGAATCATTTGTCACAGACACATTATTATCACTCACTTTTCAAAGATATTTGGCAGAATGTTAAATACTTTTAACGCTGACTCAGTAAGGCAATAAGTGAATGATTAAAAGCAAGTCCCTGCCAACTGCAAAGCGTTTCATTTCACACAAGACTTCATGTTGTGTCGGTGTCGCTGTTCATTGTTTTTACTATGAAACTTCTCATTTTTAAATCCACAGGTCAATCAGTCAGATTATGTCATCTGTGGAGTGAAGCTGCCAAACTCTGAAGATTTCCAAGGTATTTATTATGTGTCTGCATGTGTAGACTAAAAAAAACGAGCTGTGAAAAACCAGGCTGAGCAATTGTATTTCATGGTGTTTAAGCTCTTAGAGGTAGAAGTTTGGTGAAGGAACTTGAGTTAACATTTCTTGACAGTACGTGTGCTATTAAAACCTTTCCAAATCAAATGTTTTTTGGAGTATCGATAATACTTACGCAAGACATACAGTGGTTATTCACAGCGCTTCACTTTTTCCACATTTTGTTATGGTACAGCCTTATTCCAAATAGTATTAAACAAACCTCGTTTTTCAAAGTTCTCCACACAATACTCCATTATGACGATGTGAAAAAAGATGTTTTGAGATTTTGGCTGATTCGTTAAAAACAGAAAACTAAGAAATCACATTTACATAAATATTCACAGCCGTTGGCATGAACCTTAAAATTGAGCTCAGATGCTGTTTCCACTGATCGTCCTTGAGATGTTTCTACAATTTAAATGGAGTCCACCTGTAGTCAACTCAGTTGATTGGACTTGATTTGGACAGGCACACACCTGTCTATAGAAGGTCCCACAGTTGACATTTCATGTCGGGGCACAAACACCAAGCATGAAGTCAAAGGAATTGAATAGTGTCCTTGGATAAATAAATTCCTTAGATAAGTAACTTTTACTAATTGGCTTTTTATGTATGTGAATATTTTTGTACAGTGCCTACAATGTTTCACTTTCATTAAGCAGACTAACAATGACTGAGTCTACTTTACTAGGTCTGTGCTTTAAAATAAGTCTGCCATCTCCGCCTCTTCGACACGCTTATGTTTTGCAGGGCCATTCAACTGGCGGTGGGTGACTTCAATCCAGCCCAACAATGACTTCATAAATATTTTGTGGGGAGGGGTTTTGGGTTTGGGTTCTGTTTATTGCATTTATGATTCATTGCAATCAAACAAACAAGTTTAAAAGGTAACAGATCATTGTAATACTTAGTTTATTTATGTAACAACTTTAATCGCTGGATGTTCGGCCCCTGAGCTGCTGGCTGTCAGAAACTGTGGCCCCCTGAGCAGTTTAGTTGAATAGCCCTGGTGTAGAGGATGAACAGGACAGGTGACAGAACACACCCCTGTGGGGAGCTGGTGGAGGAACAGACCTGATCCGACAGAGAGACATCCACTCTCACTCTTTGTGTCCTGTTCCTTACCAAGTCTAAAATCCAGCCCAAAAGTTTAAAACCTAACTAAAAGCCTCTCTACTAAATGTAGGTTGGTGTTAAAAGCAGATGAAAAATGGATGAATAAAATCTGTCCTTCCAGATATTTAAAAGCAGGCTCATTAAAGTGACCGTGGCATCCTTGACTCCTTGGTATGGTTTATAAGCAAACTGTAAAGGATCCAGATCACTCCATTTTCTTTTAGATTTCAGATCTCACCAGTTTTTCTTAAGTTTTCATCACAATGGATGTCAATGCAATGGGTCTAAAATCATTTAGGCTTTTAGGACAGTGTGTTTTGGGAACAGGGACAGTCACAGCATCCTTCCAACATTTTGGGACATGCTGAGTCTGCATAGAACTGTTAAACATCTGATCAAAGATTGGACACAGTTGTTTAGCACAAGATTTGAGCAACCGGCCACAAATATGGTCAAGTCCCTGACTCCTGTTAGTGCTTATATAGTTATATAGTTATAAAGGAAGGAAAGTCTGAGATTGTCATTGTTTGTTCCCATACAATGGCAAAATTAGTTTTCTGCATTTAACCCATCGCACCTGGGATACACCCAGGTGGAGCAGTGGGCAGCTGTGTAAGGGCCCGAGGAGCAATTAGGGATTAGGTGTCTTGCTGAGAAACACCACAGCATGTGGGAATGGCTGGAGATAAAGAAGAAAGACTTCACAGTATCCATGTATTCAATATTAAAATGATTCTTGTCGTCAAGTTTGTCACTCACTTCCTGCATCTCCTTGCAAAAACTAAAAACATCAAAACCAGTTCAGAGCATTTGGAAGTTCAGTGTCCAAGTCAAAGCCTTCTAAATTGACAGTGCTTGGGTTTTTTGGTACTTATGCCAGCTGTGGCTTTTGTTGTGGAGCAGGCAGAGCCACATTTATTGGCAACCATTTTGTTTTCCAGATTTATTTTCTAGTCCCCTTTTCCTTTAAAATGTCTATTTTCAGCTCCTTGGTGGCTGTTTGCAAAACAGAATGTGAACCAGATTGAAAAGTGCATCTCTTGTAAATGTACATGTATGTAAATGCATATTGTAGATTTTGTAACCCCGGGCTTGCTCTTTGGGGAGATTTTGACCTCCTTGCTTGGTCTAATCATATCTCTGCAGAAGGCCACATACGAGCAAATTACCTGTGTGAGTTCATCTAAACCCCCACCTCATGCCTCTACAAACGTACCCGCTTTGGGTGCTGCTACAAACATATTCCAGTTTGTGCCATCATAACAGTCCTACATGCACTGCACAGACTTCTCGGTCCAGATTTGAGTGTCCTTCAAATATACTTTTCCCTTTTTAAACAGTTTTGTAAACTGGTAAAAGGTGGACACAACTGTCATCACCGTTGCCCAGACAGGGTAGGGGAAAAGCTCTGTATGCCTCCGTCACTGATCCATAACAAAGGTCAATAGTCTTATTTTAATTTTATTTAACCTTTATTTATACAGAGAGTCTCACGAGGACTTGTTTTCAAGACAGACCTGTTTTATCAGACAACTTGTCCTGCCTGGTGGGACAGGATACATACTGGGCAAAACTGGGGGAATGTCTTTTTGAGGGAATCATGGTTAAAATCCCTTAAAACAAAGCTCAGGGTGTTAGATGAAACAGATTAAAGCCTCTGTACAACATCAGCAATAGTTCTACAGGCAGATGGTGCGTTGGCTTTCGGGTGACTATATACAAAAGTGATAAAAAGATGAGGGAACTCACGGGGCAGGTAAAAGGGCCACAGGGATACTGATAAAAGTTCAACATCAGGAGTGCAGATGCGCTCTCTCCAAGTCAGAGAAGGGCAGTATCTCTGGTTGATGTAGAGACACACCCCGCCCTCATGAGCTTTCCCCGTTACCGCTGCAACTCAGTCCAAACGATGCGGTGCAGCAAAGACGCTGACTGACGGGTCTTTGTCCTTGTCGTGCTCTGTTAGCCAGGTATCGGTGAACGCCATCACACAGCAGTCTTTAAAATCCTTTTGGATGAAGATGTTTCCCTGGAGCTTGTCAATTTTATGACTGGAGGACTGGACATTGGCCAGAATCATCGAGGGCAGTGGAATCCGGTTAAGCTGCAGCCAGACGCCTCCTCGCTTCCCCCGTTTTCACCTCCACTTCTCCACGCTCTGCCATAAGATTTGTTCTAGTCTTGTCTAAAAATGAGCTCTGGTATTTGTGGCGTGATGTCTGACACGCCAGCCGGCCTCATAAAGTCCAGCTTCAGCAACTTATTTCTGCTGTATTGCTTCTTTCTTACAGAAAGCAATCCATGTGGTAAAAATAAAAAAATCCATATGTTAAAAATAAAAAGCACCATACCCATTTAAAATCACGTTCACAAACACGCTAAAACTCAAGCTTGTTCTTGGTTGCTGTGTGCACGTGCTTCGGTAGCCGGAGAGAGTGGTATGAATGAATGAATGAATGTATGAACGACTGGATGAATAAACGACACAGGAAAAGAAATGTGTGCGTGCGTGTGCGTGTGCGTGCGTGTGTGTGTGTGTGTGTGTTATGGCCTTCTTTTTTCCAGTTTGCCTCTCACCACCATGGGACTTAGTTTCTCTCAATTCCTTCGTGTGCAGAGTGAGCACATCCAATCTTTTATTAATTTCCATATTCTTCTGTTTAGAATGATCTCTTTGAAACTGGAAGTGAAGATATTTTTAACTTGTGTTACTGGGAGTGCTCTCAGGAAGTGAGCGACAAAGGTGTGTCATTTGGACGGTGACCATAACGAGCCAATGGCAGTATAGTATAACAGATCTTTTGATTGTGTTCCTTTCCATACTTTTACAGTTTACCCATCAAATCATATGCTTTTTGTCATATCGGATTATTACTAAAGTAAATTCCAAATTACTGTTGGGCTTAATGGGAAAAAAAAAAGTTTATTGCTGAGTTTGTGGTTCCTCGGACTGAAGAAGTCTTGGATGAAAGACGAACCATTTCAAAACAAAGAAACCGTCCAGAGGACCTGACAACTTTGTTGGATGTATTGCTGTTTGGAACAGTGACTAATGGCGATCTGAGATCCATTTTTTTGTCTAACATTTCACCAATCCAGTGAACTCTCATTGGTCTTGATGTCGACGCCTAGATTTCAAGGGCAGTGGCCAAGGTTTTGGAAGTAAGTTTTAAAGGGCTGCTGTGGACGAGTGGTTAGGGCGGTCATCCTCCGGTGGGAGAGTTGTAGGTTCGATTCCACCAGAAGTCACATGTTGAAGTGTCCCTGGGCAAGATGCTGAACCCCTCGTTACCTTTAATGTGTGTCCCATTAGTGTATGAATATGATCCAAAAGCACTGATTAGTTTCTATAGAATGATTTGTTTGATTATCTTTGTAGAGATGTAGTAGAATGGGTAAATAAAGGCACAGATTGTGTTGTAGAGCTCTTGGACTGATTATAAAGTCACTATATGAGTACATTCCATTTATTATTTACCATTTCATGTGTTTTAAGCAACATCAGAACAGAACAGGAAGAGTTAATGAAATATGGATTTATTGCAATCGCGAGTCATGGGTCTTTATAACAGCGCTATTGCAATCACATGTTTTTTTCAATATCTAATTATACTTTTATACAATTTTTTTTCCATTACTGTTGTTTGTCAGATGAGAAGCGGCGCAGATATGCAAAACTCTGCCAGCAATAATTTGCCTTAGCAATTAAATAATAATTCACATATCTGGTTTGCATTGAAGGAAAGGGCTGTGGAAAACATCAACCCAAGTATTTTGCTGTAAAAGAAAAACAACAAAAAAAGATGCCTTACAGTTTCGTATTACCTGGTTTTAGATTTGATAAAAAGCAGTGCATGCACATCTGCTGGTATTTATTGTCTTGAATTTATCTTTAGAATCTTTAATGTAGAAAAATGCTGAGTTTTGCACTGCCTCGTGGTTCAGTAAGAATTTAAGAAGGCTAGCTTTATCTTCTGCTTGCTGCCTGTGCCGCGGTTGGTCATGACCGTCACAGTCATTGGTGTTTTACAGTGATTTTCTATCTGCTTCTACCGTACCAGTGAGACACAGACAGAGCTCACACTGTTCACTGTTAAACATCTAGTGTTTGGCAACAGAGTATAGAAAAGTTTGGTCTGCAGGAAGTTTCAGCTACAAACCCCTGGTTATCATCTCTGTGGGAAAGGTTAGAAAAGAGGTCACACCTTATGAGCGTTTTAAAATGATTTACAGTTGCAGCCAGGAAACTTGTAGGCTTTCTCTGTAGCTCGGACAAGGTAAGAGAAGACCGTACTGAATTGGTTATGTGTGGATGGGCTTAGTTTGAAGCACTTGTAGATCAGTTGAAACACATCAGTCTGTGTCTGGTCACCATACTTTAGCTCCTCTTTGTTCCACCTCATGAGTGCTACCAGGGCCCAAAGTGTGTAAATTTAACAATAGTACCCCCAAGCTTCTCATCTGCTTGCTGTCACACTCCACCTGTTAACATTCTAACAGCCTGTAGCAGATTATTGTGGTGACAGCCAGCACATTTATGTTTGTTAGCTCCTGCTGTCAATCGTTCATAGGCGGGCAACACGCAGGACTATGAGCACTCAAGTTTTAAACTCATTCACTGAAACATTGTTGTTGCTATGATGCCTTAAATTATTCAAACAATAGACTACCCACAGTAAAAACAAGACGTAAGCTGCTGTCCCCATCGCTGAAGGATTTGAATTGTTAATGTTTGTAACCAAAATCGTCCATGCTCAATAATCCAGGTATACAATCCAACAATTTTCAGTCGGGTCATCTGGACAGTTTCTTTTTTTTTTTTCTGAAATGTTTCACCGTCCATCCAGAAGGCTTTATCAGTCAAGGAAACACGCAACACAAAACTGATTCTTCCCCCAAACAGTTTACTCCAAAGTGGAACAAACCAGTTATGTTGGTGCTAAGACTATTGGATTATTTTGGTTTTGAACCAGTTTGACATGACTGTCGATGAAGAAGAGGGCCGGCATCGGAGGAGGGGGCGTGCCAAAGACACCATCTTAGCACCAACATAACTGGTTTGTTCCACTTTTGAGTAAGCTGTTTGGAGGAAGAATCAGTTTTTTTGTTGTGCGTTTCCTTGACTGATGAAGCCTTCTGGATGAAAGGTGAAATGTTTCAGCAAAAAAAGAAACTGTCCAGATGACCTGACTGAAAACTGTTGGATTAATGTTTGTAATTTTTGACATGAGTGTTTCTCTGGACTGGAAATGAACAAGGAAGGCAACTAAATCTTAATGGCTTTCAAGATATTCAAGTGGGTAGGAGTTTCGCAGTGTACAGAAGTAGTTTTTTATTTTTCTTGTTCGAGGTGCCCAAGAGTCCTGGTGGTCCTGGTGAATGGAGGAGCAATTTTATCCACTACCAGGTGCAAAGGTGGAGCCAGGGTGTGACCAGTGATGGCTTAGGCCCGGGCTATTCAACTAAACTGCTCAGGGGCCGGACATTCAGTGATTAAAATCATTGCACAACAAATCGATAATGAAAATCATTGCCAACACTTTTAATAATCGATTTTTATCCATTGTATCGATTTATTGTTGCAGCCCTACATTGAACTACGGCCTACACTACACTAAACTATATGAACCTTCTGCAGTAGTAGGGATTTTATATTTACCCAAAGTTGTACCAGACAAAAAAAGATGAAAACTATTAAAATATGTTTCCATTTACCCTCTTTGTTTACAGATTTACAAAATACGTCTTAGCCGATGTCCTTCAGTTGACCTAATCATTTTGAGGCAAAACAGAAAGCCAGAAGAAACATGAACAAAACCAGGAGCGTAGTATTTGAAAAGATGAAAACACACAGAGTATAATAAGAGCCAAGGAGTCTATTGTATCACCACAGTCTATTATTTTAATGCATTAAGATTGTAACCACAGGGATTTGAAGTCTTTGCCTCCAGCAGTGCTCTGCTGCTGTTTACAAATGTTAAACCAGTTAACATCTGCTTGGAAACTTACACAAAAAGGAAGCCATTTTGTAGATTTCTTTTTTCATCTGAAAATTATCACACCGTATGCGAGTTGTACGCACAGCTTTTGAAGGAAGTAATTAAGAATCCCAGTGCAACCTGTGTTGTTGGTTATGTGTTTTGAGACCAATTCTTTAACACTTTGAGAGCGTTTGGATACTTGGTTACAAAGCTGCCTTTTGATGGAAGAGTATGTTCTGTTTGGATCCACAAAATGTGAATCTGGTGTCACTCTAGTTTATTTTTCCATGTAATAAAAGTCCAAACAAAGCAAACGCTGGTGGATGCTGCTGTGCTCTGTTGCTTTGAAGTTTTCAACAGAATAAAATACCCACTCCGGAGTGAATAATCTGCTGCCGGTTTGAGTTTGAATTGGTTTAAATTTCAAGGTCAGAGGCTTTGATGTGTTGATGTTGATTCTGCAGGAGCTCGCTGATAAATTAACAAGTTAAACATTTTATGTCTGCTGAATAAAATCCTATCTGTGCCTCAGCTAAAGACGACGGGAGTGTGGCGGTCGCCCTGGGTTACACGGCACACCTGGTCCTGATGATCTCGTGTTTCCTTCAGATCCCTCTTCGCTATCCGGTGATCCACAAAGGTTCACGCTCTTCCATCAAGGACACAATCACTGACAGACTCACAGAGAAGGAGAGAGAGTAAGTAAGACGGGAAACGCCAAATACCAGACCATAATTTCAGTACTTGCATAGATACAACAACACTGATGTACTCTCTTTCATTTGCAATTTTTGTAATACAGCTATTCAAAACCATATTCCTAAATCAAACTCTGCCAGATGAGAAGAAACATGATTTACCTTAAAAACATTGTACCACCACGTGTATATTTTAAGTAAAATACCCTCAAATAAGCAGGTTACTCCTCATTGCATCCAGCTGGTTGTCTGTTAGAATATAGTCAAAGCTCTCAGGGACAGAATTCTTTCTTGGATGAAATATTCTTTCAGCAGTTGTCTGCTTTGCATTGAGTCATTCTCATCCTGGAGGATCCAAGAGTGGCGCTTGACTTACTTTTTGGATGGATTCTTTAAGTTTCCTTCCAGCATTCCTCTATGCACACATGCGTAATCCACAGTTCCACCAATAAATATCTGCACAGCATTTAATATACTCAAACTGTTTTTTTTAACAATATTTTAGTGGTTTAGGTCTTCGTGATGTTTGGAATTTTGTTAAAGACATTTGTTTGTGGGTTGGGTTTATTTTTTATTTTTGCTTGACTGATTTGAAAACGGACACAAATACCCAACCATCTTTTTTTTTACACTTCTACGAACAGCTATATGAGTTATGAAACAGCTACAAAGTAACGTCTTTCTCACAACCAGTCGTGGAGAAATGTGTTTGTACCATTCTACGACACTAAGCACAACTGGTGCACCTGGACAAAATGCTCCACTTTTGTTTCTTCTGTCCCAGAAACTGCAGCTTGTGAACATGCGTTTTGATGAATTCTAGTCTGGTTTTTGTGTGTTTTTTGTTAATAAAGAAACCCTTCTGGGTCTTCTTTCATGGAGCTTGTGGGACAGATGCTGCGGTCAAAAATGTACGTACCTTGACCTTGGAGTTCAGCTTGAACGATTTTGAAAGATATCCTTGGCTCCTTTTCTACTATTCACATTATCAGTCTGATCAACCTAGTGAAGATTTTTTTTCTTGCCTTCACATCCTGGCAGGTTGGCTACTCTCCCATGATCCTTGTACGTTTTAATTTTGTTGGTGGGCAGAAGAACACAAAGCTACTTGGAGATGCTCTTGTAGTCTTTACCTTTTAACATAGACATCTATAATCTTTCTGAGCTCCTTGGGCAGCTCTTTTCTTTGCTGTTAGCGGAGCGTTACAGTACTAATGCTAGGTCTGAACTGTTTATCCTGCTTCTAAAATCTCCACTCAGGATTTTATAGGCAGGGCGCTAAGTTCTGTTGACATGATGGAGTGCCGTTGTTGGGGAAACACTGTGCTAAAACCTCGTAAGGTTGAATTTTTATAACTAAGCCAGTTTTCAACAAAGTCCATGTTCAATAATCCAGGTATAAAGTCCAACATTTTTCAGTCAGGTCATCGGGACAGTTTCTTTTTTTGTGCTGAAATGTTTCGCCTTCGATCCAGAAGGCTTCACAGAAGTGACGGATAGTTTCAAGGTGGAGGTGGGATTGCATTAAGGATCGGCTCTGAGCCCCTTCTTGTTTGCTGTGATGATGAACTTTAAAATGAAATGAGCTTTGCAACACAACCTGTGCCCTCATTTACCCATTCATACAGCACTAGATCTATGCAAAGACTTATCAGCGCTTTATCACATTCATACACCAATGGAACACATCGGAGGCAATGAGGGGTTCAGTGTCTTGCCCAGGAGCACTTCATCATGTTACTGCTGGTGGAATCAAACCCGTAACTCTTGCATTGGTGGACGACTGCTCTAACCACTCAGCCACAGCTGCCCTCAAGGTCGTAGGAGTGGGGACAGAGCGAGATGGAGGATGATGACTCGCTGTGGTGACACCTGAAGTGGGAAAGGCCGAAAGAGGAAGTCATAAACTGCAAAGTGCATTTAAACTAAATAATATATGTTAACAAAAGTCTTTCATAACTGCTTACAAATGGTAAAAAACCAACAATTTTTACATACTGCCGTAATCAAACAGCAGTTTATTTTAAACACGTGTCTGTAGAAACACACCTATTTTCTGACTCATTAAATAAATTGATCAAATTTTAACATTGATCCTAACAAAATTATACATTCAGTTTTTATTCCAAAATCAGAATCATGGTTGTTTTCCAGATTTTATTACATTGTATGTTCAATAATTAGTATTTTTACTTTTAGCTCAGCTTGAAATGTTGGTTTTAATGTTTTATAATGTATTTATAGTTTTTTACCGTTTGTTGTTTTTATGATTTTAACGGTTCATTACTTTTACTGTTTCAGTTGTTTTTACAATTTTTATGTTTGAGTTTATGTGTTATCAGTGTACAGCACTTTGGCCAACGGTGTTGTTTTTAAAGTACTTTATAAACAAAGTTGTGTCGTATAGTATGAATTGGTGATTTTTTTCACTTCCTTGTTCGTCCTTCATCAGAAAGGCATCCTTGGGTGGCATGTGGTTCATCCTGTGGATGTGTTTTTGGCTTCAGATTCTTATAATGGCAACAAACTGTCTAAATGCCTAAAATAAACACACTGTGGATGACTTGATTCACACAAACCTGTGATAACTGTATCACTGAGGTAGATCGAGTATAATCATGACTGTGTTTGTTTAGATGTGATTATTTTTAATGAGGAAGCTGAATATTTGATTCACTAGAAATGCACAAAACCATTTGTCTTTGGTGCTGTGATGTAAACAGTACTTTCATGAGTGATTCGGTGCATTTATGCAAATCTGTAAAGAGCTGTCTTGAATGATTTCAGTGTGTGCAGCTGTTCAAAGGTCAGATGAGGAAACTTTTACTCTGGAAAGGAAACAAAATCATTATCAAACCAGGCAAAGATCACTTAAAATTTAGAAGAAATCAATTTTCCTAGGTGAGTTGTGTTTTCATGGTACAGACACTTTCTTAATTCAGCATCTTGAGTAATTTAGTATGTGTGTGTTCATGCACTTGTGTGTGTTACTGATAACACAGATACTGCTCAACCCCTTGCACGTATATCCAAATTTTCCTTTGTACCTCACAAGCCTCTGTATACACATTTTTTATTATGTGTTTGTGTAATTCAACAAAAGGAGAATTATGCCATAATGTTTTTTCACATGCAAAGCTTTTACTAACTAAACTAAAACTAGTTTTATACTCCATAGGTTTTTAATTCTTGCCAGATTCAAGGTTACCAAAACAGACAAAATACTTCATTAACTTTTTTCCTCTCAAAGATATTTAAACTCCTCTTTCCTTTTTTTATTGAACATTTTTGGACTGAAATTGACAAACATGAAGGAGGTGGTGGCGTTGGGACAGACCTTGACCTGTTTAGTAAAGTCTCATGCTCATTCTTGAAACAACTGTAGACATTATATCATTATTATATTCTTCAAAACGTTATTTAAGAATATCTGTGTGTACAGTTCGGTTGGTGATACAGGGTTACTCTTGCATACACTGAATAGGAAAGGGCAGACATTATTTTTCATTACTGGATGGGACAATAAACAGGAAGATTTAATAAAGACAATTTTTTAGTTTGGGTGGTGGTGGTGTAAATTTGTAATAATGTAACTAATCCCTGTCAGGAAAACAAATTCCATTCTCCCATGTTACCTTCTGTTCACTACACTTACCACTTATGAGGAATGGCCACTTCTGGCATTTATTCATGGGAGCTTCACCTCATTCAGTCATCACTGTGTTGTCAGGTTGGTGTACAATGGACCAAACCACCATTGGATTGGTTTGTGTGTATGGGGGGTGTCTGGACCCACCACATCCACCCTTGGATTTCTTCCTGTGTTTTGGTATAGACTTGTACATAAGAATAAGGATGTTTTTAATCTTGGGCCTTTCTATACCAACGGATGATTTTCCGATAACTTTGGCACCATGATATCCATCCATTCATCCATTATCTTCAGCTTATTCCGAAGTCGGGTCGCGGGGACAGCAGCTTGAGCAGGGAGGACCAGACATCTGTTTCCACAGCCTCTTCCAGCTCTTCTGGGAGGATTCCAAGGCGTTCCCAGGCCAACCGAGAGACGTAGTCTCCCCAGCGTGTCCTGGGTCTTTCCCGGGGTCTCCTCCCAGTTGGACATGCTCGAAGCACCCCCCATAGGGAGGTGCCCAGGGGGCATCCTTATCAGATGCCCGAACCAGCTCAACTGGCTCCTCTCGACGTGGAGGAGTAGCGGTTCTACGCCGAGTCTCTCCCGGATAACTGAACTTCTCACCCTATCTCTAAGGGAGAGTCCAGCTACTCTGTGGAGAAAACTAATTTCAACCACCTGTATCCACAATCTCATTCTTTCGGTCACTACCCAGAGCTCATGACCATAGGTGAGGGTAGGAACATAGGCCGACCAGTAAACGGAGATCCTTGCCTTAAAGCTCAGCTCTCTCTTCACCCCAACAGACCGGTGCAGAGTCCGCAATACTGCAGATGCTGCACCAATCCATCTGTCAATCTCACGCTCCATTCTTCCCTCACTCGTGAACAAGACCCCGAGGTACTTGAACTCCTCCAGTTGAGGCAGAACCTCGCCCTCGACCTGAAGAGAGCAATCCACCGTTTTCCGGTTGAGGACCATGGCCTCAGATTTGGAGGTGCTGATTCTCATCACAGCTGCTTCACACTCGGCTGTGAACTGCTCCAGTGAGAGCTGAAGTTCACAGCACAATGACGCAAACAGGACCACATCATCTGCAAAGAGCAGAGATGGAATCCTGAAGCCACCGAGCCAGAAACCCTCTGCCAGCTGGCTGCACTGAGAAATCTGTCCATAAAAGTTATGAACAGAATTGGTGACAATGGGCAGCCCTGGCAGAGTCCAACTCCCACCCTGAAGGGGTCCGACTTACTGCCGGCAATGCGAACTAAACTCTCGCACTGCTTGTATATGGACTGAACCGCTTGTAACAACGGGCCTCCAATCCCATACTCATGGAGAACCCCCCCACAGTGTACACCGAGGA